CAATACATGGTGCAAAAAGTTGCATAATGCATGGTCCATACAGATTAAGTTTTGGATTCGCTCCATTCTTATAATGTTGGTATTGCAACTCCAATATTTTTCATGTTAAACTGTGGACATATTTAGTAAAAACTAAATATAGATTGGTTGAAAGCCTAATGCAACATTTACTCAGATAAATATTGATGAACAATAATTCAGGAGAAATCAAAAGAAAATAATAGTTTATAATTGTTTTGTAATATGCTTCGCTCAAATTATAGTATGTAGATTACTATATAAACCGAAGAATAAGTCTGTTAGATAAGAATAGAAATATCCATTTGTAACAAAGTTATTATCAGCTTTATAATAATCATTCTTTCTTCTTTAGACATTTCTTCATACAATAATTCATTGTTCATGCTATATAATTTCTCTTGTTCAACTTTAGTGAGTTGTGTTTCATATCATTATTAGAAGCCAAATTTCCGCTGCGACTCCAACAATTGGTATCAGAGCCAATTGTAAAATTGTAGAGTGGTAAAACTTTATTATTTTTATTGGTTATCGAAGATAATGGCTTCTACTAGTGGAACCGTCAAGGTTGGGAAATATGAAATAGAGAAGTATAATGGGAAACATGATTTTTCCTATTGGAGGATGCAAATGAAAAATTTGCTTATATCACAAAAGTTACACAAGGCGTTAGCAGAACAGAAACCTGAGAGTATGAACGATGAGGATTGGGAAGAGTTAGTTCTTGAAGCACGGGCAGCCATAATCTTATGTCTTGAGAGGGATGTTGCTTTCTTGGTTAATGAAGAAGCAACGGCTGTTGGCGTGTGGTCAAAGTTAGAGAAAAATTTCATGACGAAAACTCTAACAAATCGAATCTACTTGAAATCCAAATTGTATACATGCAAGATGGAGGAAGGCACCCCAATCCGTGATTATGTCAACAAGTTTGATAGGATTATATCGGACTTGAAGGATATAGGAGTGAAGATTGATGATGAAGACCAAGCACTTATGTTGCTTCTTTCATTGACCAAGAAGTATGAAAATCTAGTTCAAACATTGATGCTTGTGGGTGATACTCTAACCATGGATAAGACTAGAACATCATTATTTGCGGATGATCTTCGAAAGGTTGCTACTAGTGGGATGTCTAGTAATGGTGGAGAAAATAACGAACGGGCTCAAGGATTGCTTGTTACTAGAGGGAGGACTAATGAAAGAGGACAAGGCAGGGGCGGAAAGTCTAGATCAAAATCTAGAGCTCATGCGGAAAGAACGTGCTTTAAATATGGTGAGCTTGGGCACTTTAAAGCAAATTGTCCAAATAAGAGGGTATTATTTAAAAATTATACCAACAACGACAACAAATCCAAAGGTAAACTACAAGATTTGCAAGAGGCAAGTTATGTCTCAAATGGTGAGAATGATTGTTTCTCTGTCTCAAAGCAAGACCATGATATCTCTGAGAGATGGATGCTTGATTCCGGAGCTTCACACCATATGTGCCCAAATACGAAGTGGTTTACTACCTACCAAAGCACAGATGGTGGTACAATTTTAATGGGGAATAACCATGCCTGCAAAATTATGGGGTATGGTACAATACGAATCAAGATGCATGATGGAGTGGTAAGGACTTTGATGAACGTGAGACATGTCCCTAATTTGCGGAAAAACCTTATTTCTCTTGGTGTATTAGAGGAAAACAGTTGCAAAATAATCTTGGAAAATGGAGGCTTAAAGGTTGTTCGTGGTTCGTTGGTTGTGATGAAGGGGGTTCGTCACAGAAATCTGTATTCTCTTATGGGGGAAACTGTCACTGGTGATTTGGCAGTTGGAATCAATAGAAGTAAAGACCAAACTGAATGTACGAGGATGTGGCACATGCGCCTTGGGCATATGTCTGAAAAGGATCTATCACTGCTTGGTGATAAAATTTTGCTGAAGAACATGGAAAAGCCATGCATGGAATTTTGTGAACATTATGTGTATGGCAAAGCACATAGGTTGCGGTTTTCTACAAGCAAGCATAAAAGCAGGGGAATATTAGACTACGTGCACACTGACGTTTGGGGTCCGGCTCCAGTTACTTCTAAGGGTGGTTCGAGGTACTTTGTTACATATGTTGATGATCATTCGAGGTATGCTTGGATTTACTTTCTTAAGCATAAGAATGAGGTATTTGATATTTTCAAGTGTTGGAAAATAATGGTTGAGAACAGAACGGGTAAAAAGCTGAAAACTCTGCGATCGAATAATGGTACAGAGTATACAGATGGAGCTTTCAAGAGTTTTTGTGATCAGGAAGGTATTGTTAGGAACTGGACGGTCAGAGGCATACCACAACAGAATGGAGTCGCGAAAAGGCTGAACCGTACACTTCTTGAGAAAGCGAGGTGTATGCGCTCTAATTCTGGGTTAGGTCGAGAATGGTGGGCAGAGTCGGTTGCTACATCTTGCTATGTTGTAAACAGATCCCCACATTCGAGTTTAGGTGGAGACACGCCCTATAAGGTGTGGTCAGGTGAACATGCTGATTATGAAAAACTGAAAATCTTTGGATGCACGGCCTATTATCATGTCAAGAATAGTAAACTTGATAATAGAGCCAAGAAAGCTATCTTTCTAGGATATGCAACAGGGGTCAAAGGCTATCGCCTTTGGAGTGATTCTAAGTTTGTGATTAGCAGGGATGTTACATTTGACGAAAAATCTATGGTAGCTTTGTCAAAAGCTATAAATCCTAACGATGGTGATGTGACGATATCAAATAAGCAAGTTATTGAGATAGAATCTGAAGACCAACCAGATTCTAGTCATTGTCAGGTGGAGAATCCTATCGCTAGTGAAGACGAGGAAGAGGATGAATTTGATCATGAGGAGGTTCAGCAGGAAAATACACATGTGTGACAACAACGACAGCAGGAATCTTTGGATACCACTAGGCCAGAGAGAAATTATAAACTAGTTCAAAAGTTTGGGTCAGACAAACCTCTGAGGCATTATGGGCAGGTTAACTTGGTGGAATATGCACTCTCAACTGAAGATGATGAGCCGATCACCTTCAAGAAAGCTATCAAAGACAAAGATAGAGAGAGTTGGTTGGTTGCTATGGAGGAAGAGATGCAATCTCTTCACAAGAACAAGACATGGGAGGTGGTCTCATTGCCCGGGGGAAAGACTGCTATTGGTTATAAATGGGTGTATAAAAGAAAAGAAGATCATACTAAGTCATGCGGTACAAGATATAAGGCTAGGCTAGTGGCCAAAGGGTTTACATAAAAGGAAGGAGTTGATTACAATGAGATATTTTCTCCGGTGGTGAAACATACTTCTATCCGGGTGCTATTAAGTTTAGTAGCTCATGGTGATCTTGAGCTGGAACAACTAGACGTGAAGACAACCTTCTTGCATGGAGACTTAGATGAAGAAATATATATGTATCAACCTGAGGGTTACAAGGTTGAGGGTAAAGAGAGTCAGGTATGTCGCTTGAGAAAATCACTTTACGGGTTGAAACAATCTCCTAGACAATGGTATAAGCGATTTGATTCTTTCATGATAAAACAAGGTTTCTCTAGAAGTAGTTATGACAGTTGTGTCTATATTTAGAAGCTTCATGGAGGTGATTATATCTATCTATTATTATATGTCGATGACATGCTTATTGCTTCAAAAAGCAAGGTGGAGATAGATAAGATGAAGTCTAAACTTGGTAAAGAGTTTGAGACGAAGGATTTGGGCGCTGCAGAGAAAATATTGGGTATGGAGATTAGAAGAGAGCGGACAAACCGAAAACTGTTTTTGAGTCAAAAGGGCTATTTAGAGCGAGTTGTTGAAAGGTTTGGAATGAAAGGTGCTAAGTCGGTGGTTACTCCATTAGCTCCACATTTTAGGCTTTCTGGTAATCAGTCTCCCACTACTGCAGAAGATAAGGTAAACATGGAAAATGTACCTTATGCTAGTGCAGTTGGCAGTTTGATGTACGCTATGGTGTGTACACGTCCGGATATTTCACAAGCGGTAAGTGTTGTTAGTAGATTCATGGCGAATCCGGGAAAGGCACACTGGGAATCGGTGAAATGGATTTTGAGGTACTTAAAGGGTACCATTGACACATGTTTGTGTTTTGGTGGAGATACATGTCAAATAAGCGGGTTTGTTGATTCGGATTATGCCGGTAATCTAGATAGACGACGGTCTACAACTGGTTATGTGTTTCAAATACACGGTGCTCCAGTTAGTTGGCGATCGATGTTACAGTCTACAGTGGCACTCTCTACTACAGAAGCTGAGCACATGGCAGTAGCAGAAGGAGTGAAGGAAGCATTATGGCTGAGGGGTCTTCTAGATGATTTCGGTATGAAACAAGAACATGTGAAACTGAGGTGTGATAGTCAAAGTGCGCTTCATTTGGATAAGAATCAGGTTCATCATGCTCGAACCAAGCATATTGATGTAATGTATCATTTTGTACGGGATGTCGTAGAGGAAGGTCATATTTCTCTTACGAAGGTACATACTGATCAGAATCCAGCGGACATGTTAACCAAAGTTGTGTCAGGTAGCAAGTTTCAACACTGCTTGAACTTGCTAAGTTGTATTCCATATTCGTCCAAAATTTCAATATTTCAAATTATGAACAAGGTGGAGAATTGTGGACATATTTAGTAAAAACTAAATATGGATTGGTTGAAATCCTAATGCAACATTTACTCAGATAAATGTTGATGAGCAATAATTCAGGAGAAACCATAGGAAAACAATGGTTTATAATTGTTTTGTAATATGCTTCGCTCAAATTATAGTATGTAGATTACTATATAAACCGAAGCATAAGTCTGTTAGATAAGAATAGAAATATCCATTTGTAACAAAGTTATTATCAGCTTTATAATAACCATTCTTTCTTCTTTAGACATTTCTTCATACAATAATATATTGTTCATGCTATATAATTTCTCTTGTTCAACTTTAGTGAGTTGTGTTTCATATCATTATTAGAAGCCAAATTTCCGCTGCAACTCTAACATAAACACATTGGCTGTAACCATCCAAAAGATCAGTCATCTTACAGTCTAAACAAAAATCAGGAAATTGCAAGACTTTCAAGAAATCGATAATACATACCAAGATGAATATCAGGTGTGGTTGTTGCAGTAGCATCAACAAGAACAGTCACATGTTGATAGTCCAATGCCACAACATCAAAGACAGTATGCCTTATACAGTTTGGAGTTTGAACACCTACAAGTAAAGTTATATTTTGTTTAGATAATCAACTTAACTAAGCACTTCTAGCATAAAGATTTATCATATAAGCGTTTATGTATAAGTTGAATTTTGTACTCACCAGTGACTACCAATGTATTGATTCCTGCTCCTTGAAGGACTGAGTGAAGATGTGTAGAAAAGAATGCACTAAACCTTGTCTTAACAAGTTTATAATCTCCTTCTCTAATGATCAGTCCATCAACTAACTCTGCACCTTTGCTTCCTATACAGGAAGGACCAACTTTCCCAGCTGTATATCGGTCGGCGAAAGAGTTCAACATCTCTTCCCAAGAGATCGTGTTCCCGTAGTACCTGAAAAAATTTGAGAGACACACAATTTAGTAACTAAAAACTGTTTCGTTGGATATCTGCTACTGATTAGATCTAACTTGAGTAGAAAGTAAAGTGAGAAAATCAAAAATCAAAATAATGTATGTGGCCGCAGTCCACGGACACATGTCAGACATCAGACACAAATATATCTTCAATATGAAGTGAAATCTTCATTTTGGAGAAGTTGGATCCATTAGTATTGAAGAGTTATTATCCAAACAATGAGAATTCCACACCGTCTAGCAACTTCCACAGCTTTAATCACGTTTGGAACAATATATTTCCCTCCTTTTATTCTTACAGGACTCTCTTCATCTATAAAATCTTATGGAATAACTAAACTACCTGCATGCCAATTACAAGAAGAGCTGAGTGGTTCCGAGCAACAAAAGCGCCCAAAGGAGGAGCCTCTTCTAGGGTCGGCACGATCACAACCTTAGAAGCATAATGCATATTTCTCAAACCCTTCCTCATCTTAAGCATCGTTCTAGAAACCCGTCTTATATACAAGAAAATATCAAAAGAAAACAGCGAGGACACCCAATTCAGAATGGTGATGTTAGGGACCAAGTGAAGAAAGATGGGCCAGATATAGAAATGACAAATCATATTGGGCCTAGGAGTGCTAAGATCTGGCAGGTTTATTCTAGAAGGAAAAAAGGATCTCACACCATGTGATAGCTATGAGGTGGCAGAGAGAGAGTAGTGGCTTTAGCAAATATTGTTAGACGGTTACAATAAATGAGGAGGTAAGGGAATTGGGGACGTACGCTAGAAGATTCATTTAGCAATCATTGGATGGGGGGCTGTTAAGCACTCCATAGGAGCCTAGCTCTGTGGCAGTTAGATCATTGAATCTTCTGTAAATCTTCTTACCATCATACAATAATAGCCATTAATTTCTATCAGCTTCTATCCTTTTGTCTTAAATTTATTTGTTACTGTCGGTACCTAACATTGGCCCGACCTACCGGATACGTAGAAGGAGCCAGTGAAGGAACGTTGGTGGATGCCGCCGAAGAAGAAAACAATAGCAAACATGGAGGCGAAGATTGCAGATCTGGAGCAAGAGTTATCGTTGATGAAGGTTGCTTTTTCTGACTCCATCGCTGAGGTTCAACAAACGGCGAGGGAGAACCAAAGAGCGTTGATGCAGATGATGGAGAAGGTCCTTGGCAAAAAGGTGGTTGAAGTTGTTGATGGTGTTGAAGGAAAATTGCGATCAAAACGCAGCGGAATATAAAATTTTCCTTTAGAGATCCTTACGAATGAGCATGGTCAGTGATAGAAAGTTTTACCTCTTGTGGCGATTCAGACCTTTGATGTCGTGATCACGAGCGTTGATGAAGAACAACGCCTCTACTCAGTCCACACGAACAGATCGCTTCCGGTCACAGTGCTAGCTGATCACGAACGAAAACCTTGAGTGAGAGAGAGAGTCAAAAACGAAAATGCATCAAGTGAAAAAACTTCATCACAAGGGATCTATTTATAGAATCACTCGTGTGGGCTACAAGCTAAAAGCCCAATTAAGGCTATAAGCTAAAAGCCCAATTAAGCTTATGGACATCATACCTTATGATGTACCATATATCACTTATCCACGTGGTACCTTACCACTTTCCGTATTACACTTAAGTGCACCGTACCTTACGGTGTTCCTTATTTATTCTATCTCTCATCAACCTGTCCTTATGTGTGTGACCCTGTAGGTTTTTGCGACGTTGGCAATTATATTAAATTACACATTTAATATAATAAACAATGAGCGGTATCTAGCAACACATCACTGTTACCCAAGTCACGAAAATGTCATGTGATCTGACCAAACCTTTTTCGTGATAATATTTGTGTTGTACAATTACCCTTTTGCCCTCATGTCTATATTGAACACAAGGCATACACTGTGTCACCCTTGTCCAGTTCAATATTGGGCCCTTAGACATTTATCCTGTTATGCAGGTGTTTCCAGTGATTTCTGGTAAACAACCGCTAGTCTTCCAAACTATCGAATAATCTTTCTTACTGTTATTCAATTCCTCTGGTAACTCACAGGATCGACTAGATTGATCCTAGGACTCCTTGGATATTAAGGTTACTCTCACAATCGAACAGATATTCATGGTTTATATTGTATACGTGTTTGGCTTATTTCGATCTCTCTCTCTCTAAGAGTCTAAAGATGTAATCAAAATGTGTGTGAAAACTAAGTTACACGAATAAATGCTAATTGTAATGCTAATTGTAAAGACATGTAAAACTGCATAAAAGTGAAGTAAATGGTTTCGACTTACAAAACGGTTAATATAAAGGATTTCTGGAGCGTAAAAGTTTGAAATGTGAAGAAAGCGTTTAATGCAAGAAATCTGTAAATGATTTTAAGTAAACATATGCGTTCGAAGGATAAGACTTGAAGGTAAAGGTATGGAAGATATGACAGTTTTCTGAAATATAAAGTGCTTGAAATATAAAGAAAACATTAAAATGTAAAACTTTGAAGAAGAGATTTCGAAGTGAAAAGACTGTAAATAAGAAAACTTGTAAATGTTGTTTGACAAAAGGAATAAAGGAAAGTACTGGAAATGGTAAAAGGTTTTCATTAAATCAGAAATACATGGTGCTATCATACATACATTTCTCTTGCATTCGTTTCCCTTGCCATGTGGTAGTTTGAATGTTACTGAGTATTTTGTATAATAGATATGGCACACGAAATCCTAATACTAAGACTTCTATTTATACTAATTCGACCATAACGGTCTTGCTATAGGATTATGCCACGTTTCGAACATGCAGGACAATGCTTCTTTCATCTTTCCACGTGTCCCCAAATGCTCCAACACATAACTTTCAAACTTTGAAAGTCCCGCTTCCATTTGAATTTTAAATGCTTTGGTGTTTCTCCGTTTCGAACGCTCTTCCCAGACACAGCCTCGCTGTTGTTTCGAGACTCCTTTAGATATGTTCCCATAATTGCCGCTCGAAGCTCCAAGCTTTGACACACTTATTCGAAACACTGCTTCTGCTACTTCGAAATATGACGTTTAATTCCATTTCGATCAAAAACGTTTAACTCATTTGGCTTCTAAATAACATTATCAAAATCTTCAGCCAACAAATTGCCCCTTTAAAATATGTATTTCGATTCCTCTGAGAAATACCTATTTTAAACACCTACACAAGATTTTGATAGGACTTTCGAATCATCGTAACATTTAATGCATTTGACTCCAGTCACATCAATCATAGCACCTTTTGGATTCCTTAACCGCCCGAAGCCACTTCACAGCGTGGTGCAGTTATAAATAATGATTATCTTTTAAATCACGCCTATTACCTATGTTAACTTCACGCCACCTCTTCATCACACCAACCCATGATCTCCACGTATCACACCTCTATTCGGTGGATGCTTAAACTTCCCCATTATAAAACATCAACTTAATCTTCTTCTTTTCTTTTCACACTCTAAATCTTTCACACTCTGAATCTTTTACCCTCCTTCTCTCATAAAACAATCTAAGCTTTCAACATCTTTCAAAATCATCATGGAAAGTAAAATCAAGAAGAAAGGAAAAACTACAGGAGCTACCATGGAAAGTAAAATCATCACCATCCAAGGCCAATCTGCTCTTGCCCCTCAGATGATTTCCAAAGAAAAAGAAATGCTGTATGCGTCACAGGTACTCATTCCTACCCACGTTGCTGGTAAGAGGTTAGCTTTAAATGGCCCTCTTACGGTTTTTGAAATATTAAAGGACACCAGGACGATTTTCCCAGTTTGTTATAGCTTCAAACCCTTATTTAACAAAATGGACGCCCCTAAGGCAGTAGAATCTCCTAGTTCAAATACCATAGAAACCCCAACTATTCCTCCTAAGGACCCCTTTGTTTTGGATTATGTAAAAAGTAATTTTAAGCCATTTCGATCTTGCCCTACTTCTGATATTGCTTATCAAAATTGGTTCACGAAAGTAGAAGCCAAGAAATCCCAGCAATGGGAAGAATTAGGCATTTATAACCTGATTAAGCTATCGAAGCCTGGTTTCACCTACAGCCACCCTCTGCTATTCGCGTCCCTTTATTTCTGGGACAGTACCTACAATACTTTCCATCTCCCAGGTGGAATGATCACCCCGACCTTCTTCGACATAGCGGCCATTACTGGGCTGTCGCCAGTGGGAGGAACTTATATACCCGACAACGAAGAGCACTCAAGCATAATTGACTTTGAAGTCAAGCTAGTCAGTTTTTCCAAATTTATCAGTCATTATCATGCTGAAGGGGACAATGTGTCTGACGTAGAGCACATTGCTTTCTTAACCCTGTGGCTGTCAAGATACGTTTTCTGCAGTAGATCCCTACAGGTAGCTAGTAGGTTCATTCCTCTAGCTAGGGATTTACATGAAAATCGAAAAGTGTGCCTAAGTGAACTACTCTTAGTTGACCTCTATGAAAGCCTGAGGTCAGCTGTTTCGAGCCTCAAATCCCACACCTCCAAAAATATTCTATTGGCTGGCCCATTTTGGTTACTCCAACTATGGCTAAATGCCATGTTCGAACCCTCCTTATCAACCGCCAATACCATTGATGAGCAAGATTCTGAGATAAGTGATAGGATAGTCGAAGGCACTAGGCTTCGAAGATTAACTCCTAATGATGACAAAGATGACTTCAAAGTTCAATTCTCGAAGTACATCATGATATTCTCCAAAAGGCACAAGTTCGAAGAGAGCATGGCGCCTTTTTCTTCGAGGGCTCATGGACCTTCTTGGTTCACCATGTCTCTCTCAGAAGCTATCAAGAGTAAGGAGATTCAGGATGTATGGAGAGCTTTCTTGCTGCCTAGACTCATTTCTTCAAGAATAACCCCAGCCAAGAACCAAATTTTTCTCTTTGCCTACCAACCAAACTTCGTTTCGAGGCAGTTTGGCTTATGCCAATTAATTCCTGAACCTTTGTTTCAAACTGAGAGCGCCATCACTTCTGGACGAACTTTCAAGGCACGGGAAGCCAAAATACAGCAAGAACAATATCAAGGCTTTGCCCAATTTGAGCTGATAACCTTCGAACCTACCCATCTCGCGGCTAAAGGATTTCTGGAGTGGTGGATCAAGTTTTATCAAACTTATATGTTCGATACACTTACAATTCGACAGAAACTAATTGATGCCTTCGATGTGCAGGTACCAGCAAAGAAAGGTATGTTTACTCATGCCAAAGAGATTAAAGCTTTCCAAAATTATTTTGAAACTACTTACGACCCCACGCGCTTGGACTCCACTGTGCATCAAGCAGCTGAGACCTTGAAGGAAAAATTTAAACAAAAAGTTTCTAAGTTAAAACTTCCTTCAGGGCTGTCACCTGAGGATAGGTATAGGTTGGCATTCGAAATGCATCCACCTAAATTTCCCAGATTACCTACCTCAGAACTGGCTCTGGCTTGGTTTCCCCCATATCCATGGTGGTTTACTTGCAAAGAGATGTTCAAATATCTTCAAAGGAAACCAAAGCCATCTGAGACTGTGACATGGGCTCGATACTGGCTTCATGATTTCCCAGGACACCTTCGATACGACCTTTCTGCCATGTCAATTAAATCTGATCAAGGCACAGGTGCGAATGCTTGGGAAAATCCCAAATGTCTTTTATTTTCCATATCTTTAACCTTTGCTTTAATTGTTTCGATTTTCAGCTATCAGGATAAAGACAGCTGCCTCAAAGTCGAAGGAAGGGAGTACCTCTCAAGCCTCCATCGAAACTACTGACAAAGTGACTCCACCCGAAACAACTACTACTGCTGCAACCACAACAACAACAATAACACCAACAACAACCAGTGTTCCAATTCCAACGGTAATCACTTAGCCTTGATGTTTCAAATTCACTCAAGCTTTATGGTTTACATCTAACTTTTCGTTAAAATTCTTTCAGACCAACAAGCTTCCTCCTACTACTCCCAAGAAGCGGAAATCAAGCACCACTGGGGAAGACCCCAAGGCTGGAGGAAACTTAAATACTGCTTCGAAGAAGAAGCCAAAGAAAGATACTTCTAAAAGCACTGTTCCGACTAGTGTCTCTGGACTCGATTCCAGGGATGCTGCTCCCTCACCCAAATCCAAAAATCCACCTTCGACCTCCAACCCAACGTTGGAACGTATAGCCAATAACCTCTCCTCTGAGGGTCCACAGGTAAATTGAACCTCTAAAAATTGTTTCTAATACTAACTTCTTATTACCTTG